CACAGGTTTAGGCTAAGATTCCTAAATCTAAGCACAGTAGGCACAGCAAGAACTGATTACTGAAACTTCTAAAAGAAAAAAGACCAGAAAAGAAAGGCCTTGAAAACAAAACAAAACACAAAATTCTCCCCATCCACAGCCAACTGTCTCAGCCATCTCCAAGCAATGCTTCAGTAATTTCATAACCCACTTCTCAAACTTCCATTTTGACCAGGGCAGGGGAGGAGATTGAATATTGCACTCAAAGGTTAGGGCACTACATTCAAATGTCATCATCCACATACAAATAAGAAACAGAAGCAAAATGATGAAGAGCCGATCTTTCACTAAACAAAATCAGTCTCCACAGCCGCCTAACTAAAACACAGTCCTGCTGCTCACTGCTGAAAAGAAGCTTGGAGAGACCCACTTCCATCCATTGTTAATATGTCAGTAAATGAGAAATCAGAGCCACTTCAGCCCAGGGCAGCCAGTCCCGGACAATGGAGCATGTGTGTGTCAGACAATGACACTGGGAGCGCTGCAGAAGTGGATAAGCCACTTTGCCTTGCTTGATGGCACCAAAGAAAGACGACTGTTGGCTATCCCATCTAGGTTTCCACATGCTAAACTGCACGGGGTCTTGTCCCTCTTCTCCCCACTTCGGGGGAACAAGAACGTCTTTGCACCTAAGAAGAGTGTAGCCTCATTTCTTTCTCTGCAAAGAGTGAGTTTTCAAGACAAACTCTGTGAACAGGGAGTGGGTTTCCAGGACGCTGCCGTTCCCTAATGCTGTGGCTCAAGGCCAAAGGCAGGCAAGCATGGAGCAGATGGAGTCCTGGCAAGGTCTCCCACTGTCCCCGCATTAGCAGCATCTGCTCATTACTCAGAACCTTCGCCTGCTTTATCTAATGCTCCAGGAAAAGCATTTTGATTTGATTCATTTTGGTACGGTAACGTGCAACACAATTAGTGGTAAAATCAACTGGAGGATGGCCAGTGCTGACAATCGGAAACAAGGCAGAAGAAATATGAGGCCAGTGGGTTGGAATTCAAAAAATCACAACTGTGGATCACCTTGCCAAAGCTCAGTACCCCAGGTGGGTGTACAGTGTTCCTGCGCAGCAAGGAGGCTAAAGAGGATGAAGGGATGACTCACTGTCTCCCGAAGCCGTTTCCATCCCTCCTCTGGATCTGATTCTTTCTGTGTGCGGATCACCATCAGGTCTCAACGGCTACAGAGCTTCCCGTTGGCACAACCAGGGAGCTGGAGTTCATTAACTCATTTTATTATCCCATTCTCCTCTTCTGTGGGGCACAGTTACAAATTTTATACAGCACACCCCACAAGGTAAGTTTCCTTTCTGCCCTGTTGTACCTAAGAAGAGCCTGTTCTCTGCTCTGGAAGGGAGGAACGTGAAAATATACGTTTGATCATTTCAATCTGTCTTTGCCCAGAAGTAGCTCCGCATGAATATGTTGGTATAAATACTGCCATGACAATCTGTTACACTGAAGTGAAACCGCAGACAATGCCACCTGAGGTCTGCGGAGAAAGTGAGAAGTTGTTGTTTACCGCAGAAATAGTAACAACCCCAATCAGACTGGTAAAACAAGCTCAGAGTCACAGAGAGGCAAGAAAACACAACAGCTCTTATCAAAGCTCAGTACCCCAGGTGGGTGTACAGTATTTCTGCGCAGCAAGGCAAGAAAACACAACAGCTCCTAATATCAAAAGGAATTTTGATATCAAAATTCTAATATCAAAATCCTAATATCAAAAGGAATTTGAGACAGGTCAGATTTCAGTGTGAACGATGCAGGCATGGAAGTACTGCAGACTCTTCCTAGAATAGGAACAGCTCCCAGAACAGGACACAACTGATAAACAGGACGATGTGAATGTGAACAGCAGGGCAGACCACTGGACCAGAACTTAGCATCCAGAAGCAGACAAATACTAAAAGAATTCATACTTGCAAACCTGTAAAGGCGCCACCTCCAACCAGTGAGGTAGACAGAGATGGACTTTCTAAAAAGAGATGCTAGGAAAAGGATATACTCAAATGCATATATCATAATATTTCAGGATAGACTCCATATTGATCAAAACTTAAATATATAAAAGTAGCCCAGCAGTGTGGCTCAGTGGTTTGAGAGCCATCCTATGAACCAGGTCATGGTTAGATTCCTGGTCAGGGTACATGCCCAGGTTGCAGGTTTGATCCTGGCAGTGGTTGGAGTGTGTGCAGGAGGTAACCAATCAGTATCTCTCAGGTTGATATTTCTCTGTCTCTTTTCCCATTCCCTTCCCCTCTCTCTAAAAACCAATGACAATGTCCTTGGGTGAGGATTAAAAAAAAAAAGATATGTGTATCAAAGAATTATTCACAATAGCCAACGTATCACAACAATCCAAATGCCCAACAGATAAATGGATAAGAAAATATGAGGAACGTACATACAACAGAATATTATTCAGCCATGAGAAAGGACAACCTCTTGTCATTTGTGACAATATAGATGAATCTTGAGTGTATTATGCTAAGTGAGATGGTCAGAAAGAGAAAGACAAATACTGTATAATCACTTATATATGGAATCTAAAGAAGTCAAAACTGTAAAAAACAAACAGTAAAATGATGGTTACCAGAGAAAATGATTGATGGTATCTAAAGGTATAAACCTATAACAAGTAGTAAATGAGCCATAAGGTTCTAATGCACAGTAAAATGAATTTAGACAATAATATTGTACCTGGCAATCAGGCTATACTATATAAATATATGAAAGTAACACACTTTGCACCTTAAACTATACAATGTTACCTATCAAATTTATGCAATAAAAAAGATATGTTATTAAGTGAAAAAAGCCAACTTATGGATTACTATAAGGCAGTTTATCATCCTTTATTTTAAAAAGGGGCTATAAAAATTGATATCTGTATTTGCAATGCAAAAATACTGCAAGGATTAACAACAAAATGCTTTAGAATGGAGTTGACAAAAATGAATAGAAGCAAGACGTCCCAATATATTTTTATTGTGTTATTAGTTGTTTGTACTAGTTTGATTTTACATCTTCAAAAATATATGCTTAGTCAAAAATATTAAACTATAAAGCCACTCCGTATGAATTAAAAATTAAAACCACACACACACACACACACACACACACAACTACTATCTAGAAAAATAACGCACACAGTTCACTGAAGAGTAGATGACAAATTAATAAGCTATTCAAGTAGTCCTCGGTCTTTTCTTTTGTTGTCTGGAGAAGAAAACTACGGGGCAGAGAAATGCCTAGAGTAGCGGCTGCGTGTGAAATGTGAGGGGCTGAGAGGCGGAGGAACCGGGAGGAACACTGCTGGTCCAACTCCTGGTCGGGGGGACAACTTGCATATTAGCCTTTTATTACATAGGATATACACCGAGTGGCCAGATTATTATGCGTTCAGAGATCATAATAATCTGGCCACTCGGTATATATTTTGGCAATTACGTGCCAAGTACATGCAGACAAAAGTAGTTTCTCTATCATATCTACATGGTGTCCCAGTGTTGGTGACAAAGACAATTTTAACTAACAATGTAAACCTGCAGCACACTTGCACATCACCTCAGACTCTGTTTGCAAGCTCACAGAGATGAGAAGTGGGGGTACAAGAGCTGAGTCAAGCTCACAGAGATGAGAAGTGGGGGGAAAAGAGCTGGGTGCCTGTTTCTGTGTCTGTGGTCACTGTTACCTGACCAGCACTACGACCATGCAGGGCCCCAGGGACACAGCGCAGTTCTGGATTCACCACTGATTAATGGCTCATCCGCAAGCAAATCACTTAGCTGGGGGCTCTGGACCTCAGTTTCCCCTTCAGAAGAAAAATGTGCACGTGTGTGTTTGTGTGGCAGGGGAGGCTACTGGATCCTTCTAAATCTGTATGATTCTAACTTAAAAGTACTACATTTCATTGATAATTTGGGAAGTAGCAAACACACTCAAGCTGCTCATATGTTATCTATCCAAGATCTCAATAAACAGATAAAAAAAATACTATATACCAAAAGAAACCCAGCTTAGCCGAATATCTAGAGGCTGAATAAAAGACCATCAATGGGTCCACTACTGTCAAGCCAAAAGAACAGCATTCATGTTCTTAAAATACTAAAATGAAAATATTTTACAGATGTCAGCCCTAATTTTTTTCCAATGGCATATGAATATGAAATTCCCCATTAACTGATTTTACCACAGTGGTTTCCCTCTGAGCCAACCAATAACACTAACTCTGAAGGTGTGCAATGGGGCCACGACATGAACACGAACATTCTCAACTGTCTGTGGTCCAGCCCTCAGGCAAGTAGGGAAACAGTATTGGAAATTCAAATTTTACACTATAGTGAAGTCAGGAGCATGTGAAAGGAATATAGGATTTTCACGGCCATTTCAACTATTATTCCTATTAGCTATAAACTGCCACGTATTCCTGTATTAGACTATTCTCACCTAATTCTGAAATCCAAGTTGCTTTGTGTGCAAAAATCAGTCCCAGCAAGACAACATATTACCATAAATCATGTCAGTGCCAGAAAGCTAGGCCCTGACTTTTATTTTTCTATTTCCATATTTGTCAATAGATGATCTATGTCTACCCTTTTCACTGTTCCCTCTGAACTAGGCAGAGACTAAAGGAAAAGTAGGCCAAGTATATTTAATATTTTACACCAAACAAGTTCTTTGTTAAGATGGCTTGGCCCGCCCCACACCTGCCTCTCACACAGCCTGACAGCTCCAGCAGGACTGAAGCACCAGTGTAATGGGTGCTGTGCTCCGATGCCTACAAGTGCACTGTGGGTTACTGGCCAACTTCTTCACATAAAGCAAAGAATGTATGTGTGTGAACATGTGTGTGTGCCCACGTGTATGTATGGAGGGATTACATGTGGGAGCTGGCCACAGCTGCTTAATTTTTGTAAAGCTTTTTTTTTTCCTTAATAGGGAGGAGGGTTGTGGTTACTTACCATCCTCATAAGCTGCCACTGCCAGCGAGCTGTTTATCCTCACAAAGGAGACATATGGCTGCATTCCAGGCTCGTCGTCCTCATACTCGGAGTCCAGGAAGGGGGCTACGTAGTCCCAGGTGCGGGTGTCCCACACCCTCACGTCCCCTGATGTGTATCTGGAAAAGAAGGACCTCGTTGGTTCCAAGTGGAGGCAGAGAGCAGGGCCATAGTGGAGAGAACGGGGAGAGCCTGGGTTGGAGTGGGACCACCCCTGCACCACCGCTCAGATGAGAAACTGGGAACAGAAAGGCTGTGAGCACCTTTCACATCCTCAGAGCACAATGCTGACAACTCCAAGAGAACACTAGACCATAAAGAAGTGGGCATCGAGATCTCCTTGTTTTTCCTTTTTCACTATTATAACCTTAAGTTCTTCCAGTAAAGAGGTCATGAGGAGAAATTTGTAGGAGCCACGGTATTTACATACACACACACAAGAAAGACAGGCAGAGAGAAACTAAGGACTAATGGTTTTCCAGGCACAAGCTTTCTAATACCTCATCCACGCATCAGATTTGACTGATTAAAGTCCCTAAAGACTAATTGATTTGCTGAAACAATTAAATCTTGCCTGTAGCAGCCAGACAATGCTGCCTTCTCACGAAAAGCTCTTGCTGAAATGCATGACACTCCCAGTTTTGCCCACTTAGAAAATAGGAGCCCTCACTCTCTGCTATACTGCTGCCACTCCAGCAAATGAAGCTCTCCATCAACGCCCCGGCAGGGCCAGAACCTGCGCAGACCCGAGGCCACTAGGAAATGGCCTGGCCACATGATGAGGTGGTGCACTGCCTGCCACTGGGGTATTTACGCCAAGTTCCTTACATCTGCCACAGAGGGCTCCATTCAACACATACAGCAACTGCGGGGAGGCAGTCAGAGATGGTGTAAGAGTCCGTATGTACCCACACAAACACAGACAATCTAGGCGGTTTCTAAGCCATTGTTCTTTCAGGGTTTCTTTTAATATATTTTTATTGATTTCAGAGAGGAAGACAGAAGCATCAATGATGAGAGAGAATTATCGATTGGCTGCCTCCTGCCAATCGATAATTCTCTCTCATCATTGGGGTCTGAGCCCGAAACCCGGGCACGTGCCCTGACCGGGAATCAAACCATGACCTCCTGGTTCATAGGTCAAGGCTTGAGCCACACCAGCCGGGCCTTTCAGGGTTTCTTTGATCCCACAATAACCTCTGAGGTTTATTTAATTACTGCAATGTATGACATGATTCATTACAAAATAGTTATAGCTCAATTTCTCATGTGAGATTTCTTAATAAGAAAACTAAGAACACTCGTAATTTAGGAATGCTTCATTTACTCAAGGTAGTAAGTAGTCTTTCTCTCAAATTAATAACTGGCAGTAAATACAAAGATTGTGTAATTCAAAGGTCATTCTGTTGCCGATTCTCCGGGTTGGAGGATCCTCTCGCTGCAGACAGCACGTGGAGAGTGTGCGTGGAGAGCGCGCCAATAAGAGGCACGTGCTTTCTAACACTGGACTGATGGGCCTGTTTGACCACTCACCCTCAGTGAACAGAATCGCTCCCTCCACGGTGCCATCAGCCCGGTGCTGCACGAGCAAGGGTGGATATTTATGGCACCGCTGCCGAGGCGCGGCTACTGGCTCCCGCACCCTCCAGGCAGTGTTCCAGATGACCCTCCCTAACGAGGAACCCCACACAGGAACACACACCCACGGCACCACAACTTCCAGGCTCACCCTGCCTCTCCGGAAATGACTCAGGCAATCCCCAGAGTGAGGCCACTTCCTATTAGCGAGAGGCATTAAACAGAGATGACATGTTTGGAATTCTAGACTGTGTAAGGAGATTCTTAGGGTTAATTTCAAAGTGAAAGGAATTAGCCGATTCAGAAAAGAAAGGTGAGAAGGATGACAACGTCTTTCAGACATTCAGAGAAGGTGGGGGAAGAAAGGGAATTTGGGGATGAGAGAACTAAAGAACTTGGAGAAAAAGAAATGCACAAACCAGGAGAAGACGTACTTCTCCTCCATTAGTCTCAGCCATTCCATCTTTCATTACCTCTACCTGGGACCACACCAGTGGTCTCCATGTGGTCCTTTGTGGCACCCCTCAGGTGCCACAGTACAGAGGAGAGAATTTTGGTGTCTGAGCTCCACCCCACCGCAGTCCCCTTTATATGATGAGGTCCCAGGTAAAACCACCACCACCCAACAAAACTCAGAAAACTGCTGAACCCCACAACAGTGACCTGTGAGATGCAACGTGTGCTGTCTCATTGCTCAGGGAAGAGGCGAGCGGGAGGGCAGAGAGCCACAGAGAAGAGCACTCCTAATCACACATCTCATACTCCCAGTGAGCCTTGTCTTCCGTGAATGAAGTTGTCCCACTCACGCTGCACCTCCACACGTTTAAATTAAATACGTGCAGGCCTCAAAAGTTTCAGCTCAACACCAAAGTAGCCCGTTGCTGAATTCCTTATTTTGCTGGTGATTTTTTTTGCCTGCAGCCCACACTGCAATAATGTTCAAATCGCTGCACCCTTTCTTCTCGTTCCCAGGAATGCCACACTAGTCTACATCCCCCAAGCCCTCACAGCGTACCAGGCAGCAGCCCCCCTACATCTAAGCCTCTCCCACCGCCAGTCAACCCTGCACAAGCCCAGTCCTCAAAAATACTGGACTCCAGGAATCATCCTGCCTCTCTCCTTGCAACGGTGTGTGTGATTATCTGACTGTTCATCTCCCCTACAAACCTACAAGCTTCTGAAGACAGGGCTGGGTCTTGCTCACAGCTGTGGCTCAGTGGCTGGAACTGGAAGAGCACTGGACACCCAGAAAGTCCTCAGTCAATACGTAGCCCTAACCCCTCATGTAATTACTAGCCTGGCACTGAGAACACTCCACAGCTTAGTGCCCACTTCTCTTCCCAGCCTCGTTTCCTCCTCGTCTCTAGCATGAGCCAGCCTCCAATCGTTGGCTTCTGAACACTCTTGCCTCTGAACCTCAGCTCGCAGCACCCAGCTTTTTGGAGGCCTTCCCTCCTTCCCACTCAGCCCAGTGGGTCTCAACCTTGACTGCACATTATAGAATCACCTGGGATGCTTTTAAGACTCCCAGTACTCAAGCACACCCCAGACCAATTAAGACTGACTCTCTTGCCCTAACCGATTTGGCTCAGTGGATAGAGCGTCTGCCTGCGGACTAAAGGGTCCCAGATTCGATTCCAGTCAAGGGCAGGTACCTTGGTTGCGGGCACATCCCCAGTAGGGGGTGTGCAGGAGGCAGCTGAACAATGTTTCTCTCTATCCCTCTCCCTTCCTCTCTGTAAAAAAAAAATATATATATATATATATATATATATATATATTTTTTTTTTTTTTTTTTTAAAAAGCTGACTCTTTTGCACAGCCAAGGTGGCTCAGTGGTTGAGGGTTAACCTATGAACCAGGAGGTCATGGTTCAATTCCCGGTCAGGGCACATGCCAGGGTTGTGGGCTTGATCCCCAGTGTGTGCAGAGGTAGTCAATCGATGATTCTCTCTCATCATTGATGTTTCTATCTCTTTTCCTCTCCCTACTCTCTGAAATCAATAAAAATAATTAAAAACAAAAACAAAGAACTGACTCTCTGAAGGTAGAACCAGGTATCAATATTTCCAAAGTGCAGCCAAGATTGAGAATCTCTAACTTACCCCAAGTCCACTAACTCCTCAAGGTCTAGCAAAGGCTCTTCTCCTCCATGAAGCCTTCTCTAACTCAACTACCATGCCCATATCTGAGGAAACGGAATTCATTGCTACATTCCATGTCTCCTCACTGTGAAGTCCTCATGAAGGCCATATCCCAATGCCACAGCCTCCACCACAGTGCCTTACACACCGCAAACAACAAACAAAAGGCTGAAAGGGGCCATCCACAAGTAACTAAATGGTTTGAGTGGCACCTCCTTCCATATCTGCTGCCCACCTTCCAGTGCTATTGATCAGTGAGACACCCAGAGTGCACACATCAATATGCATTAGAATTCTTGCATGTGTTTCTAAACTGATTAAAATCATTATAAAACACAAGATAAGCTAAATTATTTCAGTAAACTTAGCCATTTGAATTAACTCCGTTCTTCATGGCTAAAGAGCATGGTAATAACACAAACATTTTGCTGCAAAATGGACTCAGGAAGCAAAATGTAAGTGACTTTACATCTCTTTCATGATAAGAACAGAGAATAAATAGAGTGATGACTATACTGCAGGTTCTAAAATCTAACACGGGTGAAAGCAACCACAGCAGTGGCAATGGGACTCAGTGCTAAAGAAACACGTTTTCGCCAGGATAAAACACTGGTAGGGCAGAGGGACCTGGACCAAACCCTCAACGTGATCTACAAGCACTTACCAACGTTGGCCAGCAGAAGCAAGAACAGACATCCAAGCAAGGTAGGGAAAAGGGTTGATTTTTCTCCAGAGCTCCAGATGTCTTTATTGCTGCCTAATGGCAATTACACTCAACCAATTAAGACCCCACTATGACAGTTGCATTGTCAGTAAGCCTTTGGACCCCAACGCTGATGGCTCTCTAATTAGTGCCCGTGCAAAGTACAACTGCAACTAATGGAAGAGCACTAAAGAAACAATGAAGAAGCAGCTTTTTCCAAACCAGTAAGGAGGTTCCAGCCATGGCACGGGCCAGTGAAACTGTATGCCTTCGCCATCTTTTTTTAATGCCTGGCAAGGCTGAGTTTACCTCCGAGTAAATGGGTCACAGACCACAGCTGATTTTTTGTTGAAAGAATGGGAATAGAGCCTCTCTCAAGCTCAGCACGCCAGAGCAATTGCCAATTTAAAATGATTTATCACCAAAGAGCTTTCATTAACTTGTAAGTCTCCAATAAACAGACTACTGATTTGGACTAAAAGACCGCAAGAAAAAGAGGGAAGACATACAGCTAAAAATGACCTTTAACCTTTCTTTTCATATAAATGTCCAGCAGGGTGAGAGAGGAGGGGCATGGTTTCCTTTTGCTTCCAGGTGCCAGCTCTTCTTTGCTAAAAACAATGTTTGTCAAAGCTCTTCATAATAGCCTGGACGTTGTTTTGATTTAAGAAAGCTGGAAATGGGGTTAAGTGAC